AAGCTTATGCTCCCAATACTTCTGTTAGGCTTAAAGGAGACACAGGACCCTCTGTTAATGTTAACTGGGATGACTTTAAGTGAGGAGTTACTGTAATGCACCTGGAGGAAAAGGGTTAGTCACAGCTGCCTAGTATTATCAGTCAATACCAGCACTTCAGAGATCCATTAGGAAAAAAAAAGACATTCAAGAGAAAGAAGGAAAAGAGCAGACCAATCTGACGGCTCCTAGCTGTTGCAGTACATTCTTTTATGCTCGATACAGCACAGATTTCTGGATCCAAAACACAAACTATTAAGCGAGCCTCACTATCCAAGTATGAGGTGGGTAAATGTTGTTAATCCCATTTTAGACCTCAGCAGGCTAAGGCTAGGTGAATTCCCCAAGGTCATTCAGCGAGATAGTAGCAGAGCCCGAAATTAGGACACAAAACCTCCCATTCTCACAGTCACCTGCTCTGAGTTCTCGACAACATGCCGTCTCTTCTAAAAAGACCAGCAGAGATCCCGAAGCATTGGAAAATGGAGCATGCTTTTAAAGAAAAAAAATGACAAACTGGAAGTACTTTTGGCAGTTGATAAACAAGAAGTTCCGAAGGCATGACCCTGCTCCCATTGAAGTCAGTGGTAAATTTCCCATTGACTTCAATAGGACAGGATCAACCACCAAGTGACTGTGCTGCACAATGTGAATTTACAATATCTGATATGTGCACTTACATGCTGTTTTAACAGATTGAAATTAAGAATAAACACTTTTAGAACATTGATAGAAAAGAGCAAATGCACTTGGCTTGTGGGAAAGAACAACAGGTGTGTTCACATTTCCAAACTTGACGGAGATTATTAAACATACCCATTCCTTATTAGCTCGTGAAGGGGCCACAGCCATAAACCCTCCATGTGCAGAGTTCCATCTGAAGTCAACTTCTGACAGTGGAAGGCTTGCAATTAGTTTCAATGTTTCCAGATTTAAAAAAGCATGAATAAGTTATAATTCCAGTAAAGAATCAAAGTGCCCAGTAATGTTTTATGAAGATTAAAAAAAGAGAGGTTAGATTATTTTTGATCTGTATTCTGTCAGTACTTATGAAATGACAGTACTCATCAGAATGACAGCCTGAGTGACCTCTCTTCATGATCAGCTTTACCACCTGCAGCAGCAAGCCTACTTCATTGACTTCATGGGTCATAGCTACAATCAGGGCTGGTGCAAGGAAGTTTCACGCCCTAGGTGAAACTTCCACCTTGCGCTACCCCTCCACCCAGCTAACCCTGCCCGCTGCCCCCCCCGCGGCAGCTAACCACGCCCACCCGCTCCTCCCAACAGAGGAGCCCCGCCCCATGGCAGCTAACCCCACCCGCCACGGCAGCTAACCCAGTCCGCCACCCAGGGAGCCTGCTGCCGCCCCCCCTGCAGCAGCTACCCCCCCTCCTCTGCAGCTAATCCCGCCCGGGGAGCCCCCTCCCACAGAAGCTAACCCCGCCCCCTCCGCGGCAGCTATCCCCACCCGAGGAGCCCGCCCCAGCTCACCTCCGCTCCGCCTCCCCCGCTGAGCACGCCAGCGCCGCTCTAATTCTCCTCCACTCCTAGGATTGCGGCGCCAATTGGAGGAGAATTAGAGTGGGGGCTGTGTGCTCAGCGGAGGAGGCAGAGTGGAGGTGATCTGGGGCAGTGAGCGGTTCCCCTGTGTGCCCCCCCCGTTACTGCAGGCGGCCCTCCCCGCACCCTTCCCCCCTGCCCCAGCTCACCTCCACTTCCACTCCACCTCCTCCCTGAGCGGGCTTTTAGGCGCCCTTAACCACTAGGCACTCTAGGCGGCCGCCTAGTTCGCCTAGTGGTTCTACCAGCGCTGGCTACAATGAAGTCCATGGCACTATGACAATTTAAACAAGATAAGGATTGGTCCCCCTTGGTTTATTAGTATTATTGGGTGACAGGCAAAGAATGAAAACAAGACTTGCGATTTGGGGGAACAGAGCATATTTCTACTTACCTGTATGAAATATCAGGATGTATGGGACATGAGACATCTCTTATTATTGGAAACTTTCTCTAACCCATGAAGAGGAGGTCACATTCCAATATATAAGAGTAACCTTACAGCAATTTACACCTGCCGAGGATCTGCCACAATGTGTAAAGCTAAGCACATGTGTAAGACTTTGAAGTACTGGGTCCCCTGCCATGCAATTCTTGGCTTATTGAGATGGTGTTTATGTGACTTTCCCACCACTGAATTCTGTTTAATTTACTGAATGAACAGTATGTTCTACAATACAATTTATTTAAAAACATTTATTTTAGGCAAAAGTAAACAGACAATTGAGATTACATAGAAATACAATTTTGAACCAGATCACTAAACATTTTCATTAAAAATGCACTGTTGCATTGATTTAAGTATTTTTGTACTGATCAATCGGTTTATATAATATTTAATCATGCCATTTGCAGAGTCAATTGCCATAAAAATCAGTAAAGAAAAAGGTTTCTTAAAATGTGCAAATCTCTTAGTATTGTGTTACCATTGATAGTAAATGGCCACTAAATATATGCTTATTACGTAAAGCTTTTTAAAGTACAATAAAAATACAAATTCTATTTGTTAAAAAAAGCCATGGATATGGCTACTAAACATCCTCATTATACAAATTCCAAAATACTATAAGACAAACAAAATTATAAAGACTTTTGCTTATGAAACATATACTACTCTATTTGTTAGTGATTATATATGTGTGTGTGTGTGCATGAGTGTGTGTGTGTGTATGTATATGAATGTTGAGCAAAGAATAAGAGAGGAAGACTTACATAAAGTTGAACATTAAGATCCCAGTTCAGCAAGTTACTTAAGCACATGCCTAACTTCAAGCAAATGAGTAGCCTCCACTGATGCTAATGGGACTACCCTTATCCTTAACATTACATATGTGCTTAAGTACTTTGCTAAATCCGGGCCTAAGTATATATGCTTAAATGTAATATTGCATAAATGCATTTCTTCTGTTTAAACCTTAAGATAATAAGCTCAAAAGCAAAATTTAATGAGCCATAATGTACCAAAAAAGTAAGTCTTTTTTTTGGGAGGGGGTGGGGGGAAGACCCCAACCAACCATACTAAAAATCCCCTGAAAGTTCTTTTTCTACTTATGTGTGTTGTTAATAGGGAGGGGGGAGTTAATGAGGGTTTTATGGATGGAAGGGAATATCCTTAACATAAAATTTGGGCATGGTACACACTGAACAAAATCATGGCAAAGTATAAACATTAAGGAACAAGTTCATGGCTGAATGCAAACATTCACAAATCATATGTTCACTTACTGCTTATGTTAAAGGTTAGTGAAAAGTACGCATAGTCAAGTCAACAATATACTAACACCCAGCAGCAATATTTTGTGTGTGTGACTATTCATCACAATGCAAGATATTTTTAATATCTAGCTCTGTTATGTGACCTATTTATGGGTATTTAAGGTTTCATTATTAGCTTGCACTGAGTTGTTGCTGTAAGCTGTAGAGCTGCAGTGTGACATTTAACAGTAACACTACATTGTTTCTCAACATTTGAAGGCCCCACCCCCGCAAACACGTTAGCATGCGAGTACTTTTACACACGAGTAGACCCAGTGAATGCAGTGGGGTTACTATGTGTTCTTTAGCATGAAGGTCTTAGTTTTCAGAACATTAAATATAGCTGTCATGTAATGAATTCCAAATTACAAACATCATATAATATGTGCAACTAGCTTAGCTGTAAAACATCAAACCAGAAATGCATAGCATTAAGTTTGTCCATTTTACAAAATAACTGTAACATGTATACTAGACCTCCCTAACACACTTATCAAACATTAGCTAGCATATTGACAATTAATCTGATATTTTTACTTTTTAAAATGTGAATTAAAGGCTTAAAATATTACAGATGTAATAGGCTAACAATAACATTATTCATATATTATAGTGATTGTGTACAGTTAACTGGAATTAATTACATGGCATCCAGATTTATCCTTTATGTACATACTAATTTTCAGTATGTTTTACTTCCTTAATTGGTATTTAAATTTTGTATTGTACAATAATCATCCCATTGACCTGAAATTAAATAGTGGCTTGAGACGATTAATTTTAAAAGGTCACCACTCAAATATTATGCAAAAATTATATTGTCTTCTAACAGAAAGAGGTATCTATGAGTTGATTAAAGAACTTTCCCAGCTTAAAGTGAATACTCCTTAGGTATTGCAAATGTTTGTCCAAGTATGAGAGCGAGAAATACAACAGTGTAATTTAATTCATATTTCATATACAAGTGTGACTTTTTACATTTGTACAGGGAACCTAAGTTGGAGTTTTACAGAAGCAAACTTCACAAGAGTTACCATGTTTAAAAATATATTTTTTGGCACATGAATAACATCTATAATACTTGTTCTGAATTAAAAATAAAGGATCATATAAGAATTTCAAATTTCTGGTCATGACATCAGCATCTGCTGTCTAGTGGGTCCAGACAAAATACTGTGCCTTCAAGAGTTAGTCCCATTTTGAACCCCTCCTGTAAAAAAAAAAATCAGACATAGTTAATAAAACGGTAGTCTTTTTCCACAGATATAAACCCCAATCCTGCAAACTCCTGAATGCACGCTCTTCTTTAGGCATATAAGTAGTCCTCGTAGGCTCCAGTGGTACCATTCATGTGAGTCAAGTTAAGCAATTCTGCAAGAACCGGTCTCAAGGATGCAAGATTTCAGTGCCAGAAAGTCAGAGTCTTTTGGCTTTGTGCAAAAATGCAAATTGAATTTAAAATGAATATCACATAGTGAATCTTGCACATTTAAAAAAATTGGTCATATTCCAAGGCCGAGTTTTAATAAGTTCCTTTTAATCAGGATAGGTGCAGAAGAAAAAAATATAGCACAAATACACAAATGTCTGAAAATACTACATGAAACAGAGTGCAAAACACAATATGCACCTAAAAGACAAAATGAATATATCAAGTGGTAAAAGAATGAAAGAATGGTTTGTAGCTATACTAATGTGAAAAACGTCTGAAGATTTAATGGCATATAATGGCATTTTTGGTATTTTGCATGTGTTTACTAACCTGATACAATTTTTCAAAAATTCACCATGTGAATCCTTACTAATACTGCTATATTTCTCCAGGGATGGTAAATCCCACAATATATTAAACTCCTTATTACAATTTTTAATAGGGATATTGCTGGGAGATTACCACTTCAGTTACTGCAACTTCCAGGAGTGTGGAACTAAGTTAGCTGCCTCATATCTTGAATTGAATCTAAGAAATGTCAACCTCCTTGTTGGAAAACAAAACAAAACAAAACAAAAATACCCTGAACATTTCAAGACACTGGTGAAGCACTGGAAAACATTCTGTCTCAAGGAACTTACTCAAGGGAACTACCTACCTCCACATGGTTCACCAACACTATAGGCTGGAGATGCATGGGGAGGTGGAGACCTCCCCAACTCAAAAGAAATAGGGATATAACAGCCCCTTTTCTCCATTTAACAGAGAGGCTGCAAATCGTCCTAGATCACATATGGATCACACAACGGTAAAGAAGGCTTCTTATGCCACCTCCTTCGCTGTTCATGCATATAAAATCCAGGCACAATTTGGCCCTACATTCTTATATTACATAGCTTATACAGAGGAAACCTTAACATATAAAAAGTCTAAGCTAATATATACTGGACTAAAACAGTGTCAGTGTACGAGAATGAATAAAATATTCAAGATGTTACACCCGTGTATCTGAGTTTGTAGCAACAACTATATCGTTATCACATTGTTTTTGAGAAACAACATATGATCATACCACTAGGTTGTAGCAAAATGCATACACACAAGCAGTCAGCATTAAAGTTACAAAAGCAACCTTAACTTTATTGTTTCCTCACTTCTCAGTGCGGAACCATGGAACTCTAACATTCTCTTTCACCTGGTTCTGTTACCTTTAACAAACACTATGCAGCTAAATCAACTGTGCAAGTGCTACACAACCTACCTTCACTCAAAGCATTGCTAAAAAGTGCAAAAAATCATACCAGATCCACTGTGCATGTTCAAGGTATTCATTTTAAAGGCACATAATTTGGTCAAATCAAAACTGATTGCTATTAGAACACTCAAAGATGATTCTCAAGACTATTATCTATTTTCATGTCAAATTTCAGCTTTCTCCTTCTGTTTTCATGGCAGAGGTGTTTAAAAACAAATTAAAGGCCAGATTCTGCCACCTTTTCACTGAGAAGTACTTTACATCATCAGCAATCCCATTTACTCTAGCGGGACTACTTGTGAAGTAAGATACTACTCAATGTAAGTAAGGGCAGGAATCTGACCCAAAGCATTTTGTTTTTATGATGGAGAAAGTCTTTCTCCACTTTCCTCATCCTTAAAAAATGCTGAACTACTTTGGCTTGAACTTTAAAAGAAACATCACTTTTGAGCAGAGACTAAGCCTGGAAAATTTCATTCTGATAAGTGAAAATATTGCAGTTATGAGCAATTGGAAGAAAGGTAGTGGGCCCCATGAAAAGGCCAAAATAATTTTAATTACAGTAGCTCCTGCTGTAATGCTCATTTCAGTTTTTTCCTGAAAGTAGGATGTACTTGGGAAATGTTGCTGATGCAGTATGAAGTAAGCAGTATGTGTTTTTATAAAGCATCTAAGACAAAATAATCAAGGATGATTTTTAAATCATCCTTATTGTGGATAGATATAAACTCAAACTCCAAAGATATAGTCTCCAGTTTATGTACACTTGTAACTCTCATTAGGTTGCCATGAATAAATACCATGCATGTGTTGTATATCAAAAAGATACCTTTTAAAGATAAAAGGCAAATCACAGATTCAGCTAAACTCATCTCATGAAAAAAATCAAGTCACATGCTAGAATTTAAAGTGTCAAAATATTTAATAATCCCACTTGGGATTATTAATGGCTGGAAAATAAAATTAAGAGAAATAAAATAAACTTCAAGGGGTTTAATTATAATGTGGTCTGAGATTTTCCAGGCAAAAGCTTTTTCTAACAGCAGTTTCATACCAAGATCACATTACAGGCCAGAATCACTATTATGGTCCAGCAAGACTAAGCGGTTGTAGACCTGGTTGAACCAGCCTGGGTACGATTGCGTTGCATTGCCTGGATGGCATAAAGCAGCCAGAGCATGTTGGTGAATTTGCCCCATTTTTAATGAATTTTACTAAAGCTGGCAACACCGAATGAAAGCACAAAAGCCTTAAACACAGAAGAATTGTTCTAAGCAAACACAATACATCCAGTTAGAGGCTGTGACGTAATATGATTCAAATATGACCATGTAGATCATTGTTGCTACGACTGTTATATAATTGCAACAACTCTTGTACAAAATGTGTCTATGAAAAAGTTACGGTGTGCTGAATATTATTAACTTACCTGTATTGCTGTATCATGTTTTTTATCTGAAGTTATGAATATTAACTATGTACCCGTATTTCAAATGTTTGCTCCTGTGGTAACACCCACAAGGTATTTAGTCAGCACGTTGTGAAGGGCCTATTCAAGTTGAATGGACCATTAAAGAACACTTAACTCACAATGGACCATGGAAGATGCCTATCCACACCTGAGGGACTTTCATGTAAACGGTCTAAAGAAAGTGTAGGTAATGGCTTTTGCTATGACTAAGCAAAGCATGCATGGACATCTGACTTGCCCATGTGAGTCCAAACTCCGTTTTGTTACCGGTGATTTTCCACAAACTAGAACAATGGGTTTCTGTCCACACGGCAGAAGCTATAAAAGGCCCTGAAAACATTCCCATTTGTCCTCTTTCCTGCTCATACCTCTGAACTATGAACTTATACTAACGGGAGCATTCTAACCAAGGGACTGAGGTCCTTCCAATGATTTGGGAGCAACCAGAGACTTAACCAGTTAACAGTTCATTCCATCACTGCTACAAGCCTGATCCAAGAACCTTGCAATTATTGTATATATTTGATTCTTTTAACCAATTTTAACTCTCACCTTTCTTTCTTCCTTTTTATAAACAAACTGTTAGATATTAGATACTAAAGGATTGGCAGCAGCATGATTTTGGGGTAAGGTCTGAGTTATATATTGACCTGGGTATGTGGCTGATTGTAATTAGCAAACTTCAGGACTAAAAGAAACTGCCGGTTTAGCTGTCAGATACTTAACTAATACCATACATAAAAACTAGCTTTCTTGAATAAGAAGGATTTCCAAAAAAGGCAAGATAAAATAATATTTTAATGTCAGGAACTACAGTGTTAACATGAGTTGACTTAAAAATCATCAGACTCACTAGATTATCCTAAAAAGCAACAGAGGGTCCTGTGGCACCTTTGAGACTAACAGAAGTACTGGGAGCACGTCTGGCTCTGTTGAT